TATCCCACTGCCAGGGGAAGGCTATTTCCTCTCGTGATATGTAAACGAGGAGAAGAGGGTAGAAAGAGAGGGTGGCCAGAGCGAGCAGAGGGAGAGGAGAGTCGGAGAGGAGAGTCGGAGACTCTCCGCTTCCACTTTCGGCAGGTGGCCAGGGACTTCGGAAGAGATAAATCTCCGACGGCGCATTTCCTGTCACTCTCCCTTTGACAAGATACCCCGAGGGAGCCATATCTCCCCACACTTTGTATGTGCACCCATGGTTGGTTATACTCCCGACAGGTGTCCTCCACACATACACATATTTCCCCCTAATGAGACTGGCGTCTTCACATTGGTCGGCCGGTCACAGTGAGGGCCATGCCAACTATACAGGAAAACACACGAAAAATACACCCATAACAGCAGCTTACGTCACAGCAGTACCAGCAAACAACCCCACACCTGCACGGAGGAGAGGAGGTCGAGAGCCTCCTTCCAGCGACCGTTCGAGACGCAACCCAGCAGCTGATCCGTGCAGCCGTCTGGCTCCGCCTTGTGCCCAGACTCCTCTTCAAGGGACTTGGACGCATTCCTGCTCCATGCAGATAGCATCGGGGGGGGGAAGGTGTGTGTGTGCTCATGTAAACGCATGCCCTAGTCTACCATTGACCTCGCATCGTGGGGGGGGAGGTGGGGTCGTACTCATGTTTTGCATGCCTTAGTTGTCATCACCGGGGGGGGGGGGGGGGGGCCCCTGTTTTGGTATGCCTTAGATGTTACCAGACCATTGACCGGAGGCGTACGTATGTGTGTGCTCTTGCAGTCTGCGTTCCGTTCCCAACCAAAAGCACAACTTAAGTAGTTCGCCCAGCACCGTCCGGTCGGCGTAACCTCAAGACAGAGCACCGCTATTAGGCTGGGAGTAGCCAAACGTCGGCGAAGTGCGTTTCCCCCGCCGCCGTCAATTCGTACAACCCAAAGGTCGAAACCGTCGTCTGTACGCGAGCAAGCTCGAGCGAAGCACGACGGGTCAACCCTTCTCGCGTTCGAAGATGATTGCAAGCCCCAGAGGCAGCCTTCTTTGTGGCGACCGCATGGAACGTAGGCTTGACCAAAAACAGTATCGTGGAATCACACACAAAAAAAAAAACGGCCTGCGCAAGCACAGCAGCCATGAAGCACATTCATTTGTCCCAAGCATGCCGAGGAAACCTCTTTGTTTCTCTCCCACCTGTAGCCCAGCCCCTTGAGGCAGCTGGAGAGCAGCTTCACGAAGTCATCACGCCGGTACGGGAGGCTATCGTCCCACGGTTGCTGCTGCTGCTGCTGCTGCGTCACGATCGTCGAAGCCGCTCCGTCCTCCTCCGTCCACCTGGACATACAACACACAAGAAGGAGCGTTCCAGATTAAGCTTCCGCACCACACCACTTCGGCGTTACGGTAACCAACCGTGCAAGGGGAATGGGAGGGGGCTGTTGGGAGAGACGCATCCACCCAGTCGGGAAACACCGGCTGCCTTCTCTGAAGCGGCAGAGAACATGCCGCACAAAGTTTGAATGCCACCGATCATGTGTAGTGCAGAGAGAGAGGGGGGGGGGGGGGGGGGGGGGAACCCACAAAAAAACCCCCCCGGCCCCTGGGAAAAAACCGGGCCAATTTCAAGACAAGAGGGGGGGCGGGTTTACGACCCCCCTTTTTACGAAAAGGCCCGGTTCAAACCCCAAAAACCCGGCGCCCCCCCCCCCCCCGGGGAAAAAATTTGCCCCAAAAAGGGGAGGTTGGGTTTTAGGACCCGGCCCGGAAAAATAAAACGGGCCCCCCAATGAAAAGGGCAAGGGGGGGGGGGCAAAAGGAAAGAAAAACACTGGGGTGGGAAAAAAAATCAAATATGTTAAAAAAGGGTCCCCCCAAAAAACTTTAATTTATATTTCCCAAAAGGGAAAAAAAAAAAAAACCCGGGCCCGGTTTTTTGGCCTGGGGGGGGGTTCCCTTTGAAACGGGTGGGATCCAAGGGAAAGGGAAACCAAACCCCCAAAATAATGGTGAAAAGGGGTTTTTCAAAAACCCCCCAAAGCCAAAAGAAAAAAAAGGACCCCCCCCCCCCCGGGGGGCCTTTTTCCTCCCCGCCGCCCAAAAAAAAAAAAAAAAAGAATAAAATGTTCCCCCCCCGGGGAAACCAAAATTAAAAAATTTCCGGAAAAAAGGGGAAAAAGCCAAAAAAAACCGGAAAACC